GCCCAGCCAGTCCACAGTGGGAGTTCCAGGACAGCTAAGGTTACCCAGAGAAACCCTGTCTTGAAAAACAAAACAAAACAAAAAAAACACAAAACAACAAGAGGGGAGGGCGCGTGCTGGAGAGGTTATGAGCCCTAGTAGCTCTTCCAGAGGACCAGAGTTCAATTCCCAGCAACCACATGGTGGCTCACAGCTATCCGTTATGAGATCTGGTGCCCTCTTTTGGAGTGCAGGGATACATGCAGGCAGAACACTACACCCACAATAAACAAACAAGTTATCTTAAAACAAAACAAAACAAAACAAAAGAGGGCAGAGCTGGTAGGAGAGCCCGGACTTAATGGCGCTAAGAGATGAAGGTCCTGTATCCTAGCCTAACCTCTGGACCTGATGAGATTAAAACCCAGCCAGTGCCTGCATCTTTACACCAGATGTTCAGCCCAGCCGGGCCTCCCTCCCTATCCACGCTTACAGCTGCAGTCAGGACAAAAGGTAATGTGATGTGGACAGCAGACGCTGCAGCTCACTGTGCTTGGCTGGCCCTCTTCAACAATCTGGACACTTTCTGGACCGTTACTATATATAATATGACAGAACTGTACTGTATGAGTCAATTCTGAAAAACATTTTCCATCTGTGTCTACTTTCATTAGAATTATGATGCAGACAGGGTAATGGAAAGGCTTACACGTTACATGAACGCTTCTCTTGTAACTGGTATCTAAATGTGACTACATCCTTAAATGAAAGTGTAAGTTTGTTTTTCCCCCATAACACAGGTTGGCCCTGAACTAGTTACATAGCCAAGGTTGACCCTGAACCCCTGATCCTCCTGACACCACCCCCTACCCAAGCCCTGGGATAATAGGTTTAAGTCTATGATTTTTCTTTTTTGTGTTAGTAGGATAAAACCCAGGGCCTTGCAAATATGCTAGCCAAGTTTTCCCCCACTGAGCTACATCTTTAGCTTTTATTTATTTATTTTTATTTTTATTTTTAAAGAGACAGGGTTTCTTTGTGTAATAGCCCTGGCTGTCCTGGAGCTCTCTTTGTAGACCAGGGCTTGAACTCACAGAGATCCACCTGCCCCTGCCTCCCAAGCACTGGGATTAAAGGCATGCGCCACTACCACCCGTTTGGCATGTCATTTAAAACTCTTGGGTTGGTGAGGTGGCTCAGCTGATAAAGATGCTCGCCAGTAAGCTTCACATCTGGGTTCCATTCCTAGAAAACCACATGGTAGAGCACTGGCTGTTCTTCCAGAGGTCCTGAGTTCAATTCCCAGCAACCACATGGTGGCTCACAACCATCTGCAATGAGATCTGGTGCCGCCTTCTGGCATGAAGTGCAGGCATAATACAGGTAGAACACACTATAAATAATACATAATACACAAATACATTTTTTAAAAAGTTGCTGCTTACATTACATTTTATGATATCAATTATATATTAGAATGACTGCATATAGTCCATAATGGGATCTGGTGCCCTCTTCAGACATAGAGGCAGAACACTGTATACATAATAAATAAAACCTTAAAAAAAAAATCAATTATGCGGCTAGAAAGATAGCTCAATAGTTAAGGGCACTGGCTACTCTTCTAGAAGACCTAAATTCAACCCCAAGCTCCCACATAGCAGCTCACAAACTTCTCTAAAGGATCCGACGACATTCTTTTCTTCCTCTGTGGGCACCGCATGTACATGCTCTACAGACAAGACACACACACACAGGCAAAATACCAATACAATCCATATAAAATAAAAATGGATACACACGCCTTTAATCCCAGCACTCCAGAGTCAGAGGCAGGATCTCCGAGTTTGAGGCCAGCCTGCTCTACAAGTGAGTTCCAAGACAGCCAGAAAGGCCTGTTGCACAAAGAAACCTTGTCTGGAAACAAACAAACAAACAAGCTTACAGTACCTTCACAAGAAATATTGTCGAAGAAGGACTTAGTTTTGTCGTAATAGCAGTTGGGGCCAAGAGGATCTTCCTCATCAGCGTTCCCTTCACTGTTCTGAGTGTCAACTCCGGAGTCCCCTTTATCTTCACCATTTACAGGTTTCTCTTGTTTTTCAAGTTTGTCTTCTAACAAAAAACATCCAAGTTAAGATTCTAAGTATCTAAGTTGAAAACATCTTTACCTAACAAATTCTATCTTATGAGTAGAAAAATAAAAATTTACCTTTTAATTTAAGTTTATTATGAAACTCTCTGTCGATTTCTTCCTTGTTAAATTGTGCATTTGCACTTTCAAAGTCAAAGTCTTTCTCAAATTTCATTGGACCATCTCGACGGATACCAAATCGTCCCCTGCCACCTCGATGACCCCCACGTCCTCTCCTTGGAGCAGAAGGAACACCTGGAACTATGGTAAGAAAGAATATTTATAACAGACATTCAGTATGTAGCAGCACTGTGGTCTACAATATAAATGTTTAAAGGTCTGTATACATATAGCATGTATGGATTTTTATATAAGTAATAAATGGGGAAGAGATGGTTCAATGATTGAAACAAACAAACAAAAAACCCCACTGGCTGCTCTTGCAGAGAACCTGGGTTCAATTCTCAGCATCCACATGGTGGTTCACAACCTTCCAAAACTCCAGTTACAGGGAGTGACGGATGCCTTCTTCTGACCTCTGCATGCACTAGGGACACAGGTTGTACACAGACATTCATGCAGGTAAAGCACACACAGACATGTAATGAAAGTCTTGCAACAACAACAACAACAGAAACTGGGGTGGGAGAGGAATGATTACAATCTCTGGGACCATTACAGTGGCAAAAGAGAACTGACATCCACAAGTTGTCCTCTGACCTCCACATCTGTAAATGGCACATATATAGAAATAAATATAAAAAACAAACACACACAATTCCTGCAAGTTGTCCTTCAACCTCTACAGGTTCACTGTAGCACACACATGCCCACACATACAGACAAAAACAGATGTCAAAAAGTAACAAAAACTAATTAAGTCGCTAAGTTAGTATGTATATTAAAAAATAGAACATCAAAGTTTCTATGTAATTTTTACACGGTTGTATCTAGGAAGATCACAACAAAGATGTATAACTGACTGATCTGGGGCCTTCCTCACTATGTTAACACAGGCTCTAGAAGCTCTGTTCTTTCTGCCACGTCCCTCACAGCCACCCAAAGCAGGGTCCTCTGTGGAAAGGGTAAGAGCAGACAAGATGTACAGTAAGAATAAGTGAGCACTAGTGAGCACAAATGCACTGGACGGTGTTCTTCTCACAACTCAGGTCCTTCATGGCCCCACTTACTCAAGTCTCCCTGCATCTACGCGTTCCCTTTCTGTAACAGCACCACAGGGCTTCAGCCAATCTTCTGAGATAGCGTAAAGCAATATGAAGAAGCATCATAGTGAAAACTTAGGAGCCCAAGCATCTCACACACACGTGATCAAGAAAAAGACAGAATGTGAACTAGTACTCGGGGTGAATTTAACTCTAAAAAATGCAGAACACAAAGCAGGATGAATTTAATGAGGTACAAATCGAATAGTTATGCGAACTGTTTAACATAGTTACAAGAATCAAAAGCAACAGCCGGGCGGTGCTGGCGCACACCTTTAATGCCAGCACTCAGGGCAGAGGCAGGTAAATCTCTGGGAGTCTGAGGCCAGCCTGGTCTACAAAGTAAGTTTCGGGACAGCCAAGGCTGTTACTCAGAGAAATCTTGTCTTGAAAAATCAAAAAGAATCAGAAGTGACTTCAGGGTAACAGGGGGATGCTCACAGTTTGTGAGGACTGGCAAGTAAACTGGGGGACACCAAGCATAAAAGCCCAGAGTAGCAGATCCAGACCATTAAGTCTAGATAAGCAGGTCTTTTAACACATTCAACTTTATTATTAAAGGCAACTCAGTTACAGGCCAGGGAAAGGCCTGCTTCACCTTAAGGTTCTGAAAAGGAACACCTACCTATGTGTGTAAAATCCAAGGAGAAATTGCGAGAACATCCCCCCCTTCTGTTAGTGACCCCTAGTGGTGGATGAGGGTAGTGAAGCCTTTTCGTTATCTTTTGTTTGTTTTTGTAATACTGCAGACTGGACCTAAGGCCTCCTGGATGCTAGGCAAGCATTCTACCATTGAGTGTCATCTCCAACACAGCTGGTGAGGGTTGTTTTTGTTTTTGAAACAGAGTTTCTCTGTGTAACAGTCCAAGCTGCCCTGGAATTCCCAGAGATCTGCCTACCTCTGTCTTGAGTGATGGGGTTAAAGGCCAGCTGTGCCCGGCTTACAGGTGTTGAGTTTTGAAGGACACTCTTAACAATTATATATTATCATTATGTTTTAATTTGGAACAGTCTTAGATTTTGTTTTCCATTAATAAATTGGAAATTAACAGCAACATGCTTATTAAATACTAAATATTGTCAAGGAAAATGTAAAACCTCACTAAATCAATAATCATTAAAGAAAACGCAAGTTCTTATACAAGCCGTTCAATTTGAAAAAGTTAAGGGAGTTTGGAGAGGCAGCTCAAAGAGCACTTGCTACTTTTAAGAGACGACTCAAATTTGGTCCCCAGCACCTACATTAAATGGGCCACTTCATGTAATTCAGTTCCAGGGGAATCTAACAGGCATGGGGTACACATATATGCATAAAGGGAAAATACTCATACACAGTAAAAAAAAACAAAGATCTCTGCGCTGAATTTGGTAGCACATGTCTATTACACCAGCACTTGGGAGGCAGAATCAGGAGATGGAGGGCACCCCTAATTATTCAGTAATTTCCAGGCAGCCTGCGCTGCATGAGATTGCCTTAAAACAACCAACCAACCAACCAACCAAACCCCCAAATTCTGGATTTAAACACTTTGTGTGAACACTAACTTACTCAGATTTGGCAGTCGCACACTTATCTGGAGCCAGCCATCTTGCTGGTGCCTTAAATACTTTTTTAAATAGTTTTTTTGGGGGTGGGGTGTCAGGAAATTGCTTATAGATAAAGAGTACCGGCTGATCTTCCAAAGGCTGACCTTCTAAAGGACCCGGGATTCCCAGCACCCACATGGCAGCCCACAGTTACCTGTAACCCCAGTTCCAAGTGATCTGATACCTCGGTAGGCAACAGGCATGCACGTGGCAAATATACATACAGGCAAACACTCAATACATATAAAGGGCCGGCCGAGGGTAAAGCTCTCCTGCTGCACAACTCTGAGGGCGGCTGTCTGGATGCTGGGAGGGCACGGTAGC